TATACAACCAATGTCTCTCAACACAAGATCAATAAAATTATTTTCTGTACCTCCCCTTCACTTACGCTAAGCTATTAGGCAAATAAAAAATGTTGAAGACTTACCATTACCACTTAAACCTAAATTCTAAAAAAACATTTATTAGCTTGATTGCCTGCTCAACTCAAACCCCAATGATTTAATTTTGCTGCCCTATTTAACACTTGTATTTGTAAAATAAAACTTATGATACATCACAGTAAATCATAGTCCTCCAACAACAATTTTTACAGTTTCTTTCATAGTACAGTTAAAGCTATGAGCAACAAACAATAACTGTTGAAACAGTATTAGGCAGTGGACTGTTCTACTAGACTCCATCTGCCCCAGTAAACCCACTCTAAATTTTGATGCCATATTATTTTGTCAATGCAGTTATGTCTTGGTAACTGCATCAAAATACTTTGGTCAAACATTCAGTAACACTACACTTCCATAATCAACTACTCTCTATGTATATTGTTAGAACAAAACTTTTTGTAGTAATACATAAATTGTTTAAAATGCTGTCAAACTACTACAATAATTTCACTTGGAGAAAAAAAAAAAAAAAAAAAAAAAAAAGAGCACTGGATTACAAAGTAGTGGGTGTCACTTTTCCAGAAGCATTATTAATGGGGACTATTTTAGTCTTCAGTGATGGGGAACGACAGGCTGTAGCGTTTCTTCAAGTTAAGAATAGAAAATAACTGTACTTGCAAGAATTCAATTAGTCTGCATTAAAGCCACCATGGGGTTACTGTACGTTTATACATCAGAAAGTCAGTAAATTATTTTTCTATAAATTAGTCTCTCAAAGTTGACTTTTTTTTTTCCCCCCCTTTCTGTTCTGAATGCCAAACTCCTGACTGCTTCTCCACCACAGAGACTTCATATCTGGATAGCCGACATCTGTAAAAACAGTTCTAATGAAAACACTACTAATACAACCCCCTGGAGAAACAAATGAAATGAGATCTAAGTATGCAGCCGCCTTTCTACAGTTCTGTCTTTAACAATAGCAGGGCTAGTGCTTCCTATCCAAGCCTTGACACAGGTCATGATCATTTAGGCACAGTAGTAGCAAAATAAATAATTGTGTAAATATGTAATAACTGGTATAAATACTTCAGTAGCACTTAGAAGATATGATAAAGGACTTCCGTCTTTAGTCATGCATTAAGGTTTATCTCAGTGGATGGAAGGAAGAAGCATTTAAACTGCAGTGAAGGGGAACTATGGATTGAATACTCGAAAGCTCAGTGCCAGACATAACATTGCTTCTTTTCCACAACAGCAGTTATGAAAGTGTATTAGTGTTAAAAGTGTTGGATAACCACCACCACTGTTTCTATAATATTTTAGCAGTTATAGCTTCACCCTCAAAAACAATATACTGGAAAGATCAATAATGTAAGTATGTATTTAAATAATCCAGATTCAAAGCAAAACACTGCCATCTTATTTTTACAATAATTTGTAATTATTTTTTTTTATAATGCATTCCACTACTTAAGTAAGAATTTAAAGACAATTTTTCTGATAAACAGTCTAACAATTAACAGGGGAAAAACATCCATTTCTTTGTAACAGTTCTCAAAATCTTAGCTAATGTGCCATACTATATCAAGGTGTATAAACATTAAGATCCAGATTTGCGGCCTTTCTTTTAAGCCTGGACTAAATAATTTGACACAACTCCTTGGTAGTAAAGATTAGTAATAGCAAGCCTCCACCACTGTAAGGATAATTAGCACATACAGAGACAGGAGGGGATCCTCTGCCTGAAGATTATCAGAAAAACAGTGTTTCTAAATGCACTCGTTTTATATGGGCTAATACTTTTCCTTTGAAACACTGGAATGGACAAATACAGGATATAATTGAAGTTTCCTTATCCAAAACCAACGGTACGTTCTGGGCCTGATTCATAATGCAGATGAAAGCTGGAACTGATTTGGCATGGAACTGACATAGAACAGCCCCACCACCACCCCCTGCCTCCCATTTACTAATTTTTATGGGCATTAGGGTTCACAGAAACATATTGCTAAGAGTACTTGTTTTGAAATAATTCCATTAACTTCCCTAGTGAAATCTGGGTGCACTAAAATCAATAGCAGGAGTTTGCCAGAACGCCAGGAGGGCAGAGCTGTTGCTTCTCTTCCCACCCCCTTTTCTGAGGTGCACAGAACCCATAAACACAGGTTTCATTTCCAGCAGTCTTTTTATGCTGGGTAAATTAAAATAGGCTCGTTATCTCATGCATCTGTTTCAAATGGCATTTCTTTTGCCATGAAGAGAGATTAATATAAATTTTTTAAGAGGATTTTGATTAAAAAAAAAGTTATGTGGTCTTTCCACTGAATAGCTATAACCTTTAAAATGTTTTTGAGGCAATAAAAAGGCAAATGGAACCCAACAAAATATTTTAAAAAAGTAATACTGAGCTCATCTCTGCTATACATATTTACTACATACACAGATTTTGTTTCTAGAGTACTTCAGATTGAAGCACATAGACAAGTTGTGCTGGAAAAAATGAAATTGAAATACTAAGCTTAAAGTATCACTCTCATTCTAATACAATGAACATAGAGTAATGACTATATAACAAAACAAAAATGACAAATAAGTTTAATAATCAAAAAATTCATGCTTCTCACCTTATAAATAGTGATCTTTCAAATGACAAAATGGACCCAAATAGTTTAAATTAGCAGGCTTATAAATGTTTTTTAAAAAGTGTTCTACCTTTTACTTTACTCAGTACTTTGATTTACTAGAAAGAAAACTCACCCAAGTAGTTTCTTTTTAAACCCCACAGCAACATGACTGCTGTTTTCTTTATAAGCCATGGAAGAGACTCACTTAGGAATTAAAAAGTGAAATTAACATTGAAAGTGAACCTGTCAATTTTATGGATTCAAGCACTAAAGGCTGTCATATTACCAGAAATAGTAAATAAAATTTTTGTTCAAGTACAGTTGAAAAAATAAAGACAAAATCCTTAATACTTACTTAAAATTTTAATTTTTATTAAATAAAGTAACACACCTGAAAAGTCATAGAATACCAGCTCAGAAAAACCACCAATTACAAAAATTTAGTCAACACAATCTTTTTGATCTTTAAGTCTAAGGCACCCTCCAGCGTTTGAAGAAGAAACTACACTTCTAGCAAGTGAGCAAGGATTTGAAGAAAAACAGCAGGAGCAAGTCTTCCTGTCAAGGTAGGAGATCCCTGATTCATTTACAATAATTGCATATGATCAGGCATCACTGATATGACAAAGCCATGATGTAAAAAAAATTGTAAAATTACTTTTCAACGATTTTGATTGAATTTATGAAGGTGTTATTTGCTTTGCTAGTGGTGAGGGATGTCTTGAAGCACACTAATTTGAAAAATACAGTAGAGTAAGCAAAGTATTACAAAAGCATTTCTTACAAAGTCTAGTATTGATAAGTGATAACTCCTCCCAGAATATGATCTCTATGTTTATACAGATTGTTTAAAACTTTAAGGAGCCTAAATGGATAGTTTATTTAACAGGAGATACACCCATGATAGGGAGGAGGAAAAACAATGCACCTAGAGGCAAAGCCAGATACAATAGAAAAAAACATTTTATAATTAATACCATACAAAACAGGAAGGCCACATGTATACAGACATGTCAATGGAATTTGACTTGATTTTATGTAAAAAGAAAAAAAAAAGGAATTTTTGCATTGGTATATAAAAAAAGGAATTTTTGCATTGGTATCTTTGTTCATTCTAAAAGTAACAAATCCTAAGATGTTTTCAGTACTTGACATTCAAATAGAGAAACATTTGTGCCAACAGGACAGACAAAAATGCCTGTTGAAAGGACAGTGTTGTAAGTTAATGTTATTAGCTAGATCCACACAAACACTTTTAAAATTACTGAAATAGACCGAAGGCTGGAAATCAGGACTTTTCAACTGATTATGCACAAACTAACATTTCCTGTGAATTTCTCTCCTGGCATTTAACACCTTGAGACTGCGCCCTGTTTGTACTTCCACAATACACTTCCACATAAAATCTAAGTGGTAATGAGATAACATGCTTTGAAATATACGTTAAGTAACTACAAAGTGGCTAGGTCTTAGTTAAAGAAAACATCTTTACTTAGAAGAGCTTTAGTTTAAGTATGTGTTCAGAATTTAAAGCGTATAAATTCACTGAATTAGTGCTTCAAGTATCACTCCTCATTAGGGATGAATGTAAGAATGCATATGTACTATTGAACTAGGTCTTTACCCTTCTGGGTTCACCCTTACAGGCCTATGTGTGAAACTGCTAGGGCAGCAACGGGATTTTCATCCTGTACAATCAGGCTAGTTAAAAACTGATTCAGTTTCAGTTTTGTAAGGTTTGAGAGTTATATCGTTCCCCTCCTCCCCAACCTTACCTTTTATTTACTACAGCACTTAGTTATGTTAGCTACAGTTGGAGAAGCAAAATTTAATTACCTTGTGATTTCATGAAAAAGTGACATTTGGTCAGTGCTAAACTTTGGTTCAGAATTAAGAGTTCTGTCAGGGAAAACAGCTGACGTCAATTTTCCCTAATATAGTTGAAGAGATCTTGTTAAAATTTGAAAGAAGTTATGATAGTATTAACCAAAAGTTTTAGAATTAATATTAAAAATATTACAAATTAACCTAGCCAAGGTGATGCAAAAAGAGGTAGAAAACATTTCAGAAGAAAGTACACAAGATAAATATATTTACATATATATACATACGAGTATAAAAACATTTAGAAACAGCCATTGTCCCTGTAAAACTTACAACTGTGCTTCATTTCACATGTTGCAAATATTTACATTGACTTCAAAAAGAGCTAACAATAGTGTGCAAAATTAAGCATGACCTTACACATTTTGCAAAGTAGTACAGGTTTATAAAAATCAGTCACTGTTCAAATTTTGGCTCTTTTTAACAACTTTTCTATTTAGTGATGTTCCTTTTTGCAGCAGCTTCTCTGATTTGACGATCAAGTTCACTTACAATATGGTCTTCATGATTATATACTCCTGTTCTCAACAGGGTATCCCTCTCTTCTATCAAACGAGAGAGATAATCATCCGTGCTCTCATTTAATTTTCTAGAATGAAGATTATCTGCTCTACCAGCAGAATTATCTCTAACATCTTGCAATTGCTTTCTTTCTTCTCCTAGTTGCTTCAGCCTGATGTTGATAAAATGGAAAGAATCAGAGGATAAACCATATTAAAAATTGCTCTGATTATTTTCATATTAAATCTTTATGTTATTTATCATCTACTGAAGTACTTAGTAAAATAAAGAAAACTATAAAAGGTAATTTATAAAAGGTAAATTATCCTCTCTCTAGGGAAAAAACAACTATAAGTAAAAGAAATTAATACTTAAATTCTAACAATACCTTTTCTATATGCACATCTAACTATAATACTTGGTACCAAGGCTCCTATTTTGATAATGTAACAGCACCCAAATTATAGAAAGGGTCAACTGCAGACAGTTTTTGGAGGCTAACATTAGGTGGAATTAAGATTTTAATTATGTATTCAAAATATGAATTAGTACATGCCCCTTTTCTTAATGCAGCAGTTATCCTTAGAACTGAAGGTTTAAAACAGAAAGAAGCCTGGTGCTGTACAGCTATGACCGCAACATAAAAACCGGGGTACAGTGGCCTTAAACATAGATTTCCTATACAGCAGTACTGTTGCATTTTATAAATGTGCAATCTTTACCTGAGGGACAATAAACTGCGTTCTTTCACTGGACTGACAGCCAGTAATCTTGGTTTAACTGAACCTTCTCCTGTTTTGAGGCAGACAGCAAGAAAAGGTGCAGGGAAAGGAATCTTACAAATGCTTTTATACCTGTTAAGTTTATTTCTGATATCTTCCAGCTCTTGTCGGTCTGTTTCCTCCAGCCCTTCTTCTTCTGCTGCCAAATAGCGCAGCCTTAGGTGCTCCAGCTGTTGTTGCTGCTTTTTAAGGCAAGCCATCACACTTTCTCGTTCACGCTAATATGGGAAGGGGTGAAGATATAACTCAGTTGACTACATGATTACATATAAAAGTACCAATTATATATAGTGACATAAGCAAAACTTCAAGAATGAAGTCATGGCAATTAAGTCTCCAACAGTATCAGAAACGCAGGAGTTAAACAGCTTGACTTAGTTGTTGGTATCTATAATACAGGAAGACCAGGACCATCACAATTGCAGTAAACCTGTCCAGGCTGGATCAGCTGAAGCCCAGTCACAGATATCTTCCCATTAACAAAACAGCAAGTGTTATGAACCTTTTTACAAACTCAGGCTTAAGTGGGTAAACATAAAACTTGTATTTGTGGAACTGCTCAAGATACTGAGATTTATTCCTTCACTACACTCCATTTTAAACTATAACCTTTTTGGGGGAAATAATGAACAGAAAAATACAATCTAGCTGCAGGAAACTTACATCATCAGCACTGTAGTGCGTAGTGTCAAAGCTTCAAGAACTACCTTTTGAAATTGCAATTTGTGGTTAAAAAATAAGCCTTAAAAACAAAACTCTGGTCAGGTTTCCTTTTACATTTAGCTAAAGTTTTGCTTATAGCTAGACAACTTATTCTGTTGATTTAATCAAATTAATCTACCCATGCTAAAAGTTTACTTTTTTTTTAAAGGTCTATACAGAAAGTGCAACAAAACTAGGGTTTTAGTCAACTACCACTTGGTGACATTAAAGTGCCTTAATGAGAAGTGTGGTCCTCTCTCCACTTTTTTTCCTCCCAGTCATTTTCCACATGACCTTGTGCACTAACTCACTACAGTCAGTCTTACACTCTGAATGAGACAGAAGATCCGAGGTAAAATAGCATTTCTTCCTGTAGTTAAAAAATAAGGCAGGAGGTTACACAAACATCCTGGATCTAGACATACTGCGAAGTGCAAGGTTACCTTTGTAATTTCGACATTGCTTTCATCTGAAATATTTGATTGTTAAAACAATCAGTTTTATATTTATTATAGAAGTAAAAAAAGATAATTTTGTTAGATATGTGTAAGTATATTCATTATGTAGTCAACCTAATAACATTTGGAATAGTAGTCAGACAATTTCCTGAATCTCGGTTCCCAGCATCTTAAGCACTCCCTGTTGATGATCAATAAGTGATGGGAAAATCTGAATTTCACAAGGAATTGGTATAAACAAAGACTTGAATTGTTGATGTGAATGGACAATGGAATAGAGACGTACTTAACAAGATATATTAGAATGTATGTAACCCCCAAATATTTTACTTTTATACTAAATCCAATACACCACCCAGCAAATTAAATGTTAGAATTGCAGAGAGATAGGCCAGAAAGACTGAGGAACAACTGGTTAAAGGGATACATATTAAGAACAAAACCAGAGCAGGAATCCTGCCAAAGAATCTACAGCTGACAGATGACTGAAGCATAAAAAAAGCACTTGGAGAAGATAAGGTCATAGTCCTTCCTTCCCCATCAACAGTTCACTGCAGAAGAACATTCTGATGTGAGAGGCACCCTTTTTTACGTGGGATGGATTTGAAGAACAGTCTCAGACTGATGTAGAATAGGAATCTACAAATACATATAGCAAATATTAACAAGTCACTACAGCCAGCTGATATTTATCCAAGAGGTTTTGGAAGTTCTAGGGAAATTCAAATACAAAGTCACAAGACTAACTGGACATGTTAGCCTTGGTGTCAACATCACTACAATTGGTGCTGACACCACAGGAATAACTATTTCCCTACTTTTTATTTTATTCTTTCTTTAAACAGAGGCCTTAGGAATATTCAGGAGCTACCAGCAGGACTTACTTCCACAGTGCCCGAATTGGTTGGAACTATAACTAAAACAAAAACTAACAGGATATACAGGTACACAAGGAAGAATTAATCCAGCTTTTGTAGAAAAAGTCACACTTCCAACTAGTCTTCAACCCTCCCCAACCCCCCCGAAAAAAAAAAAAAAACAAAAAAAAAAAAACAGACCAAAGAAACCACCTACAACCAATCAGAAAACTAAGCTGTCATGGAGAAAGTCCTCAGATTATTCAGGGTTTAGAAGACCAGAGAAAGGATACCAATTGATCATTTCCACAATAGCAAGAAGGTAACAGTGGACTCCACAAGAATCTACTCTGATATATTCATAAAAGAGGAAGTTATTCTGGAAAAAACAGTTTGCTGCCAATACAAAACTATTCGCTGGGGAAAAAGTGTATGTGGAAGAGTGGGATATTATGGGGACAAAAATAAGAATTAGTTTGAAAAGGAAACAGATAAATAAAGAATACATTCCTTGACATCTGTTAAACATGACCTTAAACTAGTTGACTGAGGGCAGCTGGATGATATTCAAAGATATCCAAGCTGGGTTTCTAGATCTTGTGCATCAACTGCTGGCCTCTGTATGGGCTAGATGGTTATTTCGCATCAGTTGCTAGTTTGTTTTTTTTCCACTCAATGAAAAACACTGGCTGAAAGTCAAAACTAAGTAAATTCCAACTAGAGACATGATTCAAGTTATTAAAACAGTGGAAATTAATCACTTAAGCAATGTACCAGGCATGTTAGGAGCTTCTTAGTCACAGAATGTTTTGAATTAAGATAGACATTTGTATTTTAAACAAATGCTACAGATCAAGCATTACTGTTGAAGTATTTAACAAAGAAGAGAGAAGGCGCTTTTTTTTTTTATTTAAATGAAGTTGCAGCAAATATCACAATGGTATTTTCTGGTTTCCAAATATCTGGATAGGCAACAGCATCCAAACAGTAAAGCCAAATTTCAAGTATAAAATGGGCTATGAGGAAAAAAGGAATTATCTAAACTATTTTGATAGTTGTACTTATTTCCTTTGCGAAATGCAGGTAGTGAGATAAAATGCTGAACATGATCTAGTCTCAAATAGGTTGGTATAAAAACAGTACAACTTAAGTTCTAGTACAAGTAATAGTACTAGTAAACAAATGTAAATATTAAATAAATGGACAGCAACTCTGATTATCTCAATTATCCAAAATCTAGAAGTATAAGGACAGGCTAATATCTTCTTCTTTGAGACCATCACTGTTCTTGGTGCTCTCATTCACTCTCCTAAGTTAAATCCTTTTCAAAATAAAGCAAGTTAAAATATTGCTGTGTTTAAGAAAGAAAATTAGTTAAGTTTACTACCTTAAGGCAAACATGGGACCTAAAATTTCAAGTGTGTTCAATCTCCTTTGTAATGTTCTACTTAGCCTCAGGAGAGGAGTTGTTGCCCTGTAGATGTAGAACAAGTCTAGAAATTTCTACTTGTCTGTCCCTACAGGTACAGAATCTAATAATTCAGTCTGGTGACTAGCTACTTTTCCTGATTAAACAAGAAGTCTAAAGAAATTTGCAATACATATCCCTGTAGTAGATACAGTACAGCCTGACTATCCAAGTTCTGGTTTTAGATTTAATCTGTCTAGTAAAACCTTGTTTTCCTGTTGATATTTTCTAACAGTGGTAAGAGCCTTGGAGGCCACGCAATAAACTATATAAAAATGTAATTTACAAGCAAATGGTCTCATCTGTAGGAAGAAAAACTCCCTCATTACTGTGCAGGATGAGGCTGACATCTTGCTCTTAGATGATAGCAAAAATCTAAATCTTTTACAGCAGAGAGGACTTGTAACTGGCATTATCTCCTTTTCTAGACTTTCCACCTATACCGATTTATAGATATGATTATCTTCAGTCCAATGCATTGTTGCAGATGGTGAGGAAAGGATTAACTTTGGAAAAAATCTCCTTGCTCTGCAGTTCCGTTTATTCATGTCCTAATTTTCCCATTTTAGCCTAAGACTACTGTCATGAGAAGCTGGGGTATTAATGTAAAACTGTCAAATTTGTGTATCTTAGTAACTCTGAGAGAATTTTTTTGAAGGTATGTTGGGCAAACATGACCTGAAAACTAATGCAAAACAGAGTAGCACTTATTACTAGCACAGCAAGACTTCAGCAACATGCTCACAATGGCAATCTGACAGCAAGAAAGGCATGTGAAACACACTGAAAGAAAAGTATACATTAGAAGTACATATACTGAAGGTTAACAGAACAAAGTCCAAAGTTCAATCATGCCAGGAAGACAGAAGATTCCTAAAGCTTTCCTATTGATCAGAAGGGGTCTCATTTAATATCTTTGGTCCTTTTATGCCCTCACTGAACTAGTTAGTTTCAGAACCATAAGGTTTTTTGATCAAGAAACATCTGTAGTGATGTTTAATGAAACCAAGAAAAGGACAAAAGAGAGAATGATGCAAAAGCGAAGGAGAGATGTAGGAAAAGCAAGGCTTTCCTAGAGAATCCTTTGTTCAGTTCTTGTTCCTTTATGTTTTCTCTGGTAAAAAATGTTTAAGAATTCTTTTTAAAAACATAGTAAGCATGTTCATTGCTTAGGGTCATCACACTGGCACAGGGTGCCCAGGGAAGCTGTGGAAGCTCCAGCCCTGGAGGTGTTCAAGGCCAGGCTGGAGGGGGCTTTGAGCAGCCTGGTTTGGTGGGAGGTGTCCCTGCCTATGGCAGGGCGGGTGGAACTCTATGATCTTCAAGGTGCCTTCCAACCTAAACCATTCTATGATTCTATGATGATCATATCCCTAGATTTGTAGGGAAGTAAGTTTGATTATAGAGCATGCTAAATTCTCCCATTCTCCATAGAGGAGAAAAACATTTTGTCTCCAAGTTAATGTTGGGTAGGACTTCCTTTCAGATAAATGTGATTAGAAATTTAATTTTATTACTAAGAGAATTGTGATGTAAATATGACAAATATTCAGCATTTCCTTGTTTGGGAGGGGTGAGGGAAAAGACAAGATAATTTTAGTTCTGTAACAGTGAAAGTCAAGAATTTCTGTAGCATGGCATGTCATGACCCTGAATAAAGCCATTTAAACTCAATAATATTAAATTTAAAAAAATAAAAATCAACATTTTCTGAGGCAAGATTTCCGTAGCATTCAGTTTAAGACAGTCCAACTTGGAGAAAAGACATGAATGCAAGTGAGCAGGGATTTTGTAGTTTCATTTGTGATGGATCCTGTATGTAATTTAAGTTACACACTTCATACTCTGATTTTCAAATGTCTTTCCCAACATTAGTCTTCAACTCCTTTAAAAGTCTGTCATAACAATTTGTAGGGTGCATAAAGAGCAAACTTGCTCTATGAATACCATTCATACATTTCCTAATAATACATCAATACAAGAAGATGGCAAAGAATTTACAACAATTGTTTGTTAAGTGAGGCATGCTGATTTGAATTAATTTATATACAAGTCCATGTTGAGGGTCCATAAAAAGACTGTCTTGTTATGATGAGACAGAAGGATTTCTTTTTCATTGCAGTGATGAAAATGGTGCCACTTCACCCAAGACATCCAGGTATTAAATCCACTTCTCCATCACAGTTTAACAATCCATTGGGCAATAAGCACTTTTTTTTTTAAACCAGAGAAGGAACCAAATGCTACTACATAGTAGTACTTTAAATGTAGCAGAATTTACTGCAAGAGCTTCCAAAATGAAAAAAACAGTATTAATAAAACACTTCTGAGTATTTATGGTAGTAATAAAGCAAAGTCCAGCATTTCTAAACTCACTTGTAACATCTTCATTCTATTCTGTGTATACTTAAAAACTAAGTCGACTGGATACAAAGTATTTTTAAATGCATAGATACACACAACCTTAAAATTCTCAGTCAGGACTTTGACACACTTTGTATTTCCAGAGAATATGCACATAGTATATACTGAAATTAGGAACATTTCAGATGTATTCCCAGCTGCTTATTGCATCTAGTCAGGCTGTTTTAAGCCTTAGTAAGAACTATTAGAATTTTTAAACTTGTAGAATTTTGCATTTTTAAATTTCAGGTAAGGAAATACTCTGGAATCACCAGCTGCTGTACTACGGCAACTTCGTGGATAGACAATAACTATGGCCCACTAGAAAGTCAGAACACTTTGGAACTTTACTCTTGCATTACCACCTAATTAATATCAGCCATTATCCCATAGTGAGGCAGCCACAGATGAACCAGGAGTATCATATGCAAATTACTTTGAAAATTACTTTTGCAATATACTCTTAGTTAGCCTAGTTACCTTCTTCACTACTTTCTCAGCACTGCTAGTCATGCTATTCCTTTTGCTCATTTTCTTTCCTTTCCTCCCTCACCCCTCAGTGAAACATCACCAATATTCCTTTCTCTTCTTAATTTGGTATTTTGCCATCCTCTTCTTACAATCCCATAAACAAAATAAAATCCAATGCAAAGTCACATACTAGTTATCAGATCATTTACTTCACTGTTTTACCACTTTTCTTCACTACTTTGCATCTCTACTGTAGTGCTTGAGACATGGAATACAGTTTTAGGAGCTTGCATGGTGGCAACTTCAATCATGTTTTGAAACCTATGGTACTACAGGAATATCAGCATTAAATAAAAATTAACCAGTAATAAAAACCCTCAAAATTTCAATTATAATCAGATCATAAAAGAATCCCTGTATGCCGCCAGGTGCTCTAGTTAAGAGGCTCTTCAATCAAGGAAGCACAATCTTTATTTTGCCATAGCTGCCTATAAATCCAAAAGGGAGATGTAAACATACATACACTAGACTAAACAATGGCTAAATAGCAGCCACTATTCACTCTCCCACTCACACATACCATGTAAGTCTGTGGGAAAAACTTACGATTGAAGCTAAGGAACTCAAGTAAAGTTTTCTGAAAATAACCCAGAGCTGACAAGTCAGTAGGAGGGCCTGGATGGTTTCAAGACACAGTTTTTAACCAAGACTTGGACCTCCAACTTTTTTTGTGTGCTTTTTTTTTTTAAACAAAGATTCACATCCCATCCTTGGCTAAATTACTTATAAATTAATCAACTTAATTACTGAGTGGATAAGCAAGACACTGGACCAGACAAGGTGAATGTCAGCCAGCCAAGACAGTCTATGTTGTTTTAAACAAACACATCAGTGCTGGTTTTAACAGATCTGTAGGGCACAAACACATTAAAAGACAAATATTTCTTCCAGAACACTGGATAACATATGCATGTACATTTTGAGATTTTGGTTTTCTAGATTACAACAGAGATTATCAACAGCTGAAAAATGACATTTCTGTATCAAAACAAGAATCAAAGCTGGCATTGTTTCTTGCACTCTGACAGGTTCTGAATTTAGCATTTAAGATCTCTGTAAGTACATATGCAGTTCTGTGTAAACCGTTTGGTTGCTCTCAGAAGTAAAGCTCACATACATAAAAACTACGGAAGTCTAGTTTGCATAGTAATGAGATCTCCCAGCCAGCAAACTTTGAAAGACATTTTTTGAAACCTCTGGAAATGGTAAAATCTACCTGAGTGCATAGATATATAGCTAACCTGTTGACATTTTTGTCTTCCTAAAACAGACCAGGGGTATAATAAATGAAGTATTAACACTGACTTGCACTAAGTAACAAAGAGGGAAGAAAAGTAAGCTGCGTGAAGTCTATTTTCACTCAGCTTTACAAACTGTGTTTAAATTCAGCTAACTTCTGTATTTTGTTAAGCACAGGTAAGCATAATGTGTATGTGTCCGCACGTACTTTGGATCTTTTTTTGGTTACCACTGGCACTGTGCTTAGCATTCAAAATCCTAGACATGGAGAAGTTTAGAGCATTTTGTATTAACAGTCCCATATTTTTCTATGTTATGTACTGCATATCTCATATTCTGCAAAACATAAAACCATCACAGATGTGTGCTAAGAACTAGTTCCAAAGTAAAAGGAAACATTTTAATTAAGGAAACATTGACTTTTATGGTTGCAAATCAGAAGAGCATTTTACTAAATGCTTAGCCTGTAGATTATGCTTCTTTAATTCACAAATTGACTGTACTAGGTCACCTTTGAGTAATGGAAATCTCTGTTTAAACATTTTTTTGGCAATGGGCACAAAGCATTAGATCTCATTTCCAAGACTTACCAGCTGGGTTTTGTCATTAACATTTATTAACAATCTAAGATATGGCTTTCAGCGTCTAATCCTCACTACACAAATGTTTTGTATAGTTCTCTAGAGAGCTTTGGTGTGACAAATTACTGGCACAGATTACAGCCCTGTGGCTATTCACCAGAGGCAATGCAAAATTAACATGGTTCTAATCCAATTTAAACAAGAAATTGGTCAAACTATGCACAATTGCACAAATCATCTGAACTAAAGCAAATCTAGAATTCCTGAAGCAACAGTTTCCAAATTTATTTTTAAAACATGGTAAATGGTTTTTGATCAGCTCTGCTTCAACTTTTATTTGCCTCTTTAAAGTCACTTAAATCCTTTATCAATATACTAAGTATAAGATGAAGCACAGGAGTATAAAAACCACAAGAAGCTACTTGGAAAGGGTTTGTTCTGTAGCAGAAAAGTTTTACGTAGCATAATTCACTGTACATGCCAACTTATTTTATGGTTCAGACTTTCAGCAAAAGCATCATCTGAACCCATCTATATGTTACAAAATTCAGACTGTCAGGTCTACAGTGACAAAATTTATAATAAAAACCTTAGTGATATACACTAGTGTTAATCTGGCAAGCAACAATCTTCTGTTTTATTCTACAAGAATTTTTAAATATGTCAGTAAGAAAAAATAGCCTGGACGTTTTATGGCTGCTGAAGCAATCTTAATCAGAGAGATAAGATTTATAGTCTTCCTTCTGTCATCTTGTCGAGCATAGATGTTTCAGAAACTGGAGAATTCATGTCTCCTTTTATCACTAGGCAAAGAAGGACCAATTTGAAGGCAGCAAATAAAGATGAGTTTTTAATTATGAATAGTGATTATATAGCACATTTACTCTCTTCAAAGATAAATACAGATTAAAAGAGGTAATTATCAATTAGGAGAGAGTGGGCTTAGCTTCTAACTCTCCAAAACCTGAATACTCTAGCAGTAAGAATAAAGTAGGAACTATGATCCTTAAAAAAAAAACCAAAACAAAACACTTTCTCAAGCAGGAAGTAGGTGTGAATACAGGTAATAAAAACCATTTACTAAACTTGAATTCTGAAGCTTTATGTCTGTGTCAAGGTTTGTTCAGTAACAGGGATTAATGATTTACGAATTTGTTTGTCAAGGCCAATGGAAATGCTTGCCATTAAGTATACTGTTTAAGCTAATATTTACTGTAATTCATGCAAGACAGGTGATGACCAGAAAAAAGAAACAGAGGCACATGGATTTGTTGAGGATGAAGGTGCCACTCCTGCAGGTTTGAACAGAGTACTTTAGAGTCGTGTGTATGACTATATATACACACACGAGCTCTGTTAAAACACAGCAGTAAGAAACCATGACACATTAGTGTGAGATCAGGATTTCCAAAAGCAGGAGAAAGTTTCACTTTGAGTTTACATTTTCTGCAATTTTACTTCATTTTACAGCATTCAGCAAAGCTTAAACCATGTTTCTAAAAGCTAAGATTTGATTCTTATCTTTACTCTTCTATTACAATTAAAATACACAACAGTTAGGACTGTAATTGACCAAGATGGTTGGGACAGGAACAAAATATTTTCTCTGGAAGTGCTGACTGAGCATTATTGGGAATGAGATTAATAAAACTTTGTTTTGAATTGCACCTGCTTTCAGCTATGCCAAGCCTCTTTGCAGACCTGAGCCTTGGTCTTTCCTGAGTTCAATGTCAAATTGAAACCAGTTTTGCTGTTTTCATTTTTGTAAAAATCATAGCTCAGAGCTTCTGTGAAGATAAACACTAATAAAATGAAAACTGACAGTAGTTAACAGCAATTACTAAGTAGCTTCCAACACAACACTAATGTGGTTGTCTTATATGACAAAAGAAAACCTGCATACCTGTTTAAACCTTGCAAGTTCTTTCAAAGACCTTGTCCATTGTTGTTTGTAGTGGAGCTTTGACTTGGTAGCTGACTCTAACTTTCTTTCAAGTTCAACCTAAAAGCAATTAAAATCATATCAGCTGAAGCAATAACAGCAGTAACAATCACTGAACGATGTATATATACAAAGAGTCTGGTTTAAGAAAAGTGTTTATGTAGTGTAACATACAACATCATCTAAAGCTGTTATATAATATAACGTAAATATTATGGCACATGAACATTTTCTTGTTTAAAATATAGCCTTATTTTTATTGGATAGCTGTCTATACAAAAAGAAAAAGATTAGTTTTTAGCACTAAATTTGCTGATGTAACCTTTAAATATAAGATTCTCAAATTAGCAGTCCCCTCCCCCCTTTTTTCCAAAGTAAGGTTATAAGCCCTAATTTAACAGTAACACTGATGGATAAATCTTGCCTTTAAAAGGTGTTTGAATTTTTTTCTTTCCTGCAGCTGATGGGAGATATGTGCTATATTCTTTCCTCTGAACAGACATCTGTTCAAACTGCTCTTTAAAATCATGTATCTAGTGCGAATCTTTGATCTTACTATCTGAGTAAACCTTTACAAAAGGTTACACACTAAAAGTTGATTGCATTCTGTGCAAAAATAGTTTAGTAGTAAAAGGCAAATGAAAACACTCATGAAGCACACACAACACTAACCTGAAAAATGAAGCATTTTTAATTAATGGCTCTGAGGCAGTGATATTTTCTTTTATTCACACAAAAGTTAATTACCATTAAATTTGTGAAGATCTTAAAGCACTGATTTTTAACCTAACAAAAATAGGAAATCTAAAAATATTTAAGCTAAGAGTTTAAAAAAGTCTGTAGATACAGAAACATATTTTGAATCATTTGCTTGCTTGCACTATTAGAAGTTATTCAAGCATACAGTAATATGCAGACTGACCATATAATGTGAGTGCATTTTGTGTCGAGAAGCCTGGTCCAATTTTTTCAGCTTATTCAGTCAACAATTTGACTCAAACCTCACAATAATTCTGAGCATAAATGCCCATATCTGTGGTTTTAATTAAGGAAAATATTCTCTACTGAAGGCATGCATGGTTTCTAAGAAATCAACTTATGACAGTGATTCCATTCCACTGATAAGTAACACAATCTCTTTTCAGAAATACTTCATAAAAAAAACAATGCACATAATGAAATACCAGTCTAAATTAATCCTCACAAGAAATTCTTCATCTTTATTTAGTTTTATAAACAGAATGCTCAGTTCCTAGCAGAAATCTTGATGGCAGCAATTTAAATATATAGGTTAGGTTTTTTCCTGCCTTAGCCTCTAACACTACTGCTTCCTCTATAGAAATAAGGCCACTGTTTGCCTTATTTGTGTCCAAATATTTAAAGTCTGAAGAAATTGTTGGAAGAATTAAAACAAAAGGGATAAATTAACCGGTTTATCATGCAAGATTATTCTACATCTCCCTTATCAGTGAATGGACCATTGTGACAGTTTTTAAAGACTAGAAAAATCCAAGATACCTTTTCTAAAGTGAGAAGATTTATTTCTGATTGTAGCTGGATTTCTGGTTTGCTACTTTGCTGCTCTTTGTATTGCTGGAACTCCTTCTCCAACATTTTATGCTTATTTTCTGCTTCGTAAAGCTACATTAAAGATATCAAGATATAATGCAAGTTAGCAGAAAAATCCATTCACAGACAAAGGATTAAGTTAAAGAACTTAAGTAATTCTTCAGTAACAAACATCTTACTGACAATTATCTGATATAAAACAGACACTGAAAACTACATATTCATAATTAATGACTTCTTGGTGATGGCATACAGCAAGGTTTTAATAGGAAGAATTTAAAAGAGGATCTTTGCTCAGTACTGGAAAGAAAAAACAAGTCTGTCCTCATATACAGAAGATCAAAATTTATAAACACGGCTGTTCACATTTCTAAAATGACTTGCAGAAGAAACACAGAAAAGAAAACTATTTAGATTTACACACATCTTTTAAAGAAAGCCAACAGTGTTATCTACTATATGAAGTTTTATTACTTACTCAATTTCAGCAGTGTAACTTGTTTAGGAATGTCTGGAAGAGGAAACAGCTAATACTTTCTACAGCCAAATAATGATTTAGAAGAAAGGCTGAAGTAGAAAGACTTCAGTGACTAACGACTTAATGCTATGTACCTCTGCCCTCACTGTGTACTTCTGCAGTTTCATGAAGATTTTATAAAGAGAAAGCTTTGCTTTTCATCTTAAAGTGGGTAATTTAAAAAACAATGCCAATACACAATTACTTTGCTACAAAGAAACTAAGCAAGTCAAAAGTTTAACTTTTTTCATTATACCATATTAAAAATATTAAGAATTTTTTATGCTTTCTAAGAACAGCTGTGTTCCTCTGTTGAATATTATTCAACTATAAATACCTTAATACACCTGACAGAACTGACATATTCCATCACAGAATATGATCCCAAACGCTGCACTTGTATTTCTGTCCAACTAGTTAATGCAAGTATTTCCATGAATTGCATCCAACAGTTTAGAATACTAGGTGAAAATGCTTCAGAGAATTCATTTCTGTTTCAAAGCCCACACCTTCTTCAATCTTCTACATCAATGTTTTAGTTCTTTGGAGTTCCTAATTGGGTCACAACTATTTTTCTTCCAGAATTTCACTTTTTGAAGCTATTATTTTTATAGAATAGATGTAAGAAAGCAAAGATGCTTCCTAGGGATCCATATAAAAATGCAGTTCTCTGCATTTACTTTTCACATATAACCACAATAGCCAACTTCGACAAAAGAGACTGTTTGTCACTTTTCAATTTTTACTGATTTATTTTTAGAGCAGACATACAGACATGATGCTGATGAAAACACTAACTAATTTCTTCAGCTATGAAAAATCCCTAGAACTTCTACAATACTGTTTCATTTCTTGTTTGGTTCTGAAAACAGTTTCAAAAATTGAATTTTTCATGAGACCTCAGGTTGTGGACTGTCAAGGAACTGCACAAATCATACAAGTAAAGCACAGCTTAATGATTCAGGTAGTAATCGTGATGTTCTTAAAGGTGGATGCTTCAAGGATCTTCTCTTGCACATAGTGGGGTTTACCTTCAAACAACGTAGACTTTTAGAGAACTCTACAATTCAAGTATGAAAATTGTGTACTGACACATCTCCTTAAAAGGTAAGTAACAAGTTAAAACATATAGTTCAGAACTATTATAATTTATACTGCAATATTCTACACCCCACCCCATGCAGAAAAGGTTGTCTTACACAGAACAAGCAGTAACAACCACCTCTTATTGAGGCATGAGAGAAATAAAAACCAGCAGGAACAGCACAAAGAAAGACATAGCAGGGCTTGTGTTTGGAAGAGAGACTGTAGGACTGTATGACAGACACCTAAGCAATAAGGAATGGTATGCAGCACAGGCACAAAAGGATTCTTCATAATTAAGCAACAAGTTTAAAATGAACAATTTTTCAATACACAACACGTAATTAAAATTTTACAACTCACTGCCACAGGATGTTGCAATGCTAAAAATAGAAATACTTTTTCAAAGGGATCAGATGAGTTCATGATGAATACTTTCACTGATGGCTAGTAAATATGAAATGCTGCCACTGGCTGAGGATACGTGTAACTCTTAATAGTATTGCTGGATATACCAAAATTGTATCTTCTTATTGTCCCATTTCTTATTTTCTTGCCCTTAATATCCAACCATTGCTGCAACAGAATGCTGAGCCAACTGATCTTTGGTCTGATACAGTATGTCTGTTCTAAATAGGAAAAATAAAGTGATTGTGATGGTATTGCAACCTAGCCAAAAGGAGTCAGTGGGAGAAAAAAGAATGAATTTTGAAGATGACTCCCAGGTGGTGGCATTTGGCTGCTTGAGCCTGAAGAACTACTGGCTATCTTGTCTGGAGAGATACAGCACTAGTTACAAACAACACATCTATGATGCAGAAGTGATGCGCGTCTCACTTTGAAGTGGATTGCATTCTACAGTTTGAAACTGCTCATCTCAGTTCAATGATTGCTCAGTAGAATAGCCAAGATTAGCATCTTCTAGATTACCAGCACTTTCTGTATTAGCTATATTTAACAAATCCACTGTATTGTGGTTAACATGCTGATGCGAAAAGTAGGTTAATAACTGTGTTTAATACTAAACTAAAAAAACAAAATCCCAGCACAACTCTTTCTAATGCAAAAATATGCCTTTGGCTGATACAGTTCTCCAATTAGTCAAATCTATTGTTGGATTATCACTATCACACATCAGAATTGAAAATAATTGAATACCCTTTTGCAATGGAAGAATAAAGCAAACTGTATAGTCAAGCTACCTAGATGTTCACTGCTAACAATTTATTAAGTTACGAAATGTATAGTGCTGTTCAGGTTCTACATGCAATGTATGCTTGATGTAGTGTATGTTTGATTTTTAGCATTAAAAAAAAGAAGAAAAGCTAACCATTGCATTGCAAACTGGCCCTACTACTGAGCAGGATCCCTGCATCTAGCTCACTGAACAACAGAGATGAAGTGTTTATTACAAAGTTGCCAGAATGCGCTTGCCTCAAAACCATTGCTCAACTTACTACGCTTTCTTTAAAAAAAATGCTTACTTAGATAAGTAAATGGTTGAGGCAGAAAATTTAAGTGTACTTACCTGCTGCTGTAAGCGAAGCTTGTCTTCTTCCAGCTGTTTGATTTTTGACCTTTCTAGTTCAACCTGGTGTGCACATTCTTCTCTGGCTCGCCGCACAGAATCCTGTAGCTCCTGCAGATTTCGTTCATGCTCTGCTTGCAACTCCTTCTTTAGTCCTTGAAGCTTAAGAGTAAAACATATTTATAGTAATTCATAGGTGCAAGAGCTTTATTTTAAGAGCCCTTCTTACAATTGTTGCTACTATTCATGAAAGAAAAAAGTGTTATCCAATTTAGAAATTAAACAATAGACATTCCATTGTTATCTATGTTTGCTATATACTCTTTTATTGGCTTTCAGTTTGACTAATGACCTGCAAATTACTATATTTGGGCTACAAATATACTCTTGCTTGACAATTGTAAATACGGACCTATCTGTATCTCGTATTGTACTTTCTACATAAAAGTTGTCTTTAGGAATCCCACATGCACCTTTCTACTGCAAACTAAAAAGCTAAATATACCTCTTCACTGCAGAAACAGTAGAGTCACAGCTATAGCCAAGATACCTTTAGATCATTAAGACTGCACTCTTCAAACTGAGCACATTGAGAGAATTTCTCATTGAGCTACAGCCTTGACATGTTTGAACTTTCTGGAAAGATGTTACTGGCCCAGATAACTGCTAGCTGAACAGAAACCTCTCCAAATGACCCATTTCTCAAACTGTGCAATAGTTAAATGAACCCTACATCATTTTGTCTAGACGCTTTTGGAATCCACTGATTTTTATTATCTCTACACCCTCAGGTCAGAATCTCACTAAATTTAGAGCAAGTTGAGACAAATATGTATGAGATTCAAAATAAAGACTTTAACTCAGACTGAAATGCATTCAGTGAAACTTAATCACCAGATTTTTTGCTTAGATGTTGAAGATAAAGTAAGACACTATTTGCAGCAAAACCTGCTTCTTGAGGGGTATAGACACAGCCTCAACCAGTCAGTCCCTGTGTTGGGAGCTTTAACTTTGTTCACAAGCACAGCATGGATTCATATGATAAAAAGATGAATCTGAGCTACAGGAGGAAAGAGGAAGTTTTTGCTGGACTGCTAAATCACCAAAGCAGTTTACCTACTGTTTTACCTCAAACCAGGACACCTACATAATTAAGTAGTAATTAAGTGAGTTTGTTCTGAAGTACAAAATTAGGCAGTTTATTTTCTCTTTCTCTTTTCATACGACTGGCGTCCCTGAGGTCTCACACCCCATTTTCTCATCTTGGGGGTGTTCAGTGAGATCTAGAAACAATAGTAGCTACTGGTTTCTCCTGCATGTTCTTTGGCCCTGTCATTATAAAAAAACCCACCATAATGAAATAGCAACTCTGTCAAATTGCTGGATAACAGAACCTGGACAATTGCTGTTTCTCCCAGCTCTCCTTGTTACTGTTTCCTATTTCAATGGTTAATCTAGCAACTACTCTTTAAGTAAGGCACTCTTGCACACATGTATGATGTGCACCTGACAGGACTAAACTTAAAATTGAGATTGATAATGTTATATAATTGTCTCCATTGACACTCAAACTCTGTTAAGAATAGAAAATTTACAGTTCTGTATTTCTAGCAAGTCATTAAAAGTTTACTGAATTTCCATTTCAGTAAAACACTGTAGTGGTAACAAAACTTGGCTTAAGTTATTAGGGCTCCTCTATGTATCAGCATGAAGGCTGCTATTTCAGTTCTTATACACAGGTCACAATTGTCTATACAAAAACTCAAACCTTTAGAAATATGCAACAGCACTGTTTAAAATGACCAAACACTTTTTACCTCTGATTCGGCACTAAAAAGCTGACGTTCTCGTTTATCTAGATCTCTCAAGGTTTTCTGAAGTTGTTCTTCCAAAACAGTGTATTCGGCTACCTAAAAGAACAAAATAAGCATTTTTTTCTTGCAATAAAAATATGGTTTAGGCAGACAAAGAATTTCCTCCTGCTATGTTAAAAAATATTGTCAAATTCTGTTTGGAAATTTACTTATAAAAAAAATCTCAAGCTCCTAATGAAGAAATCACAATGAAGAGCCTTTTAATCCAATACGATAAAGACTGATGGGTTACTATGCGCAGCCAGGCTGTATAAGTGCTTTTTGACCAGGCAAGTGAAAGTCAAAGTTAAAAAGGTCCCAAAGATAGCAAGCTAACCTAAAGGATTTCTAACAAGTACTCTATGATTAAGAGCTACTTTTAATTTTTTGCACAGTTGTAGACTAGATGCATGAATACCAGTAGGCATAAAGCCTAATCACAGATCCTTAATAGTAAATATCTTGTCAAATTTTATAGCGATGAGATTTATAATGAGACTTTCAGCAAGTATAAGAACAAGTTTCCTTACCTTTTTCTTAACTAATGCTTCTCTCTCTCTGTCTCTTTTCTTCCATTCTTCTGCAAGTGCCTGCATATGGGCCATTTCCTTCTTTTTAAGCTTTTAAAGGCAGAAAAAGGAATAAAAACTCCAAATCAGAAAACCAAATTAAAATTTTTGGAAGTTCAACTCTAAAGGAGAGACTACTAGCAGAACTAAGCCTTGAAGCAAAAGAATTGTAAACTAAGTTTTGTACACTGACTTATATAACTCAAGGTATGATTCTGACAATGAAAGATAGTTCTTACCCTTAAGTATAAAATGCAAAGTAAGCCCAAGTTTGAGAAAAATATCCTAACAAGTTACAACACTAGATTCTCAGTATCTTCTATAAAGAAGTACGCAACTCTAAGAACACCTAGAATGAATTCTAGAGTAGAAACATAGCAATGGGTTTTGACAAGAGAAGAAATGCAGTGTTAATATTTAACACCAATAATCTATATCTTCAGTATCTACTGTACTTCCTAAACAGTAAGGTAAAGTCGTGAAGGGGGTATTCTGTATTTCACTACCTAGTACCTACTTCAGACACTTAAGAGAAAATAACTTACTTCTTCCTTAAAAGTACGGAAGATATTTGTGTACATCTGAAGTTTTAATATTCTATATGAGCAAAATTTAGTTCTTGTTTGAAACAGTGGCAAAGTTTAAGAAACATGCAGTCAATATTCCTCTCACCAATTCTGCTAAAGCTTCTGCAGCAGTCATGCAGTTTAGCAAATGACTAGAAAGACTAAAAACCTGATTTTCAAAAATGTCCTCTTGCATTTCCTTCCACATTTCTAACTCCAGTGCTGCTTTGTATTCAAGAGTTTCTCGAGGTTCTGGATGGTCTTCTGGGGCACAACGAGGCTGAGTGTGAGGGACATGCTGTTGTTGACCAGCACCTATACACTGATACAATAACAGTAGATTTTTAACTGGAAACTCAACTTTTCAAAGAAGTGTTCAAGGAAGAAGGATAATATATTTATGTAAAATTTACTTGAGAAGAATCTGACACCAGAACTTCTTGCATTTTCACAAGCCCGTAGTCTTCCAAAGTGATAGCATACGAAAGCTCTGCTATTCTGTTGCCTGACCTACAAATGGCATTAAAATAATATTTTAATGAAAACTGTCTTGAAAATACAGAAACACACAAACAGCAAGGGCTAAAAGGTTCTGTGTAAGCTCGAGTCTCTAAACAGTTGCCTATATGACAGCCAAAGATGCTCTCCCATGTATATTGTTTTAATTTAGGGAATGGTTTATACATCTACACTAAGCTTTCTGACTTTAATAGATAACTTGTCATTGGGAACTCACTTATCTTACTAAAATCAACACATCCCTGCAACAAGAGAATGATCCAAAATTATACCTGGAGTCTTAAGTCTTTCTAACAAACATACCTGTTGAATACAGGTATTGCTGCTGACTTTAAGATACTCCATGAATTTCATCAGTTTTGCTTTTTTAAGTGTTAGCAGTGACTTTCTAGTTATCCACAGACACTTAGCATATCATGTGTGGTAAGCCATTCTGGGATTACTGAAAAACACTTTTCTGGAAGCTTCAGTACTGAAAACTCACAACTTTAAATGCACTTACAGGTTAAATATATACCTGCTTTTGTATAATGAAAAAGCATCTAGATAACATATTTTAATAAACCAATCTGAAATTAGTTGCAGTTTCTGCTTAGGTAGAACAGTTTGTCTCTAGCTGTCTCCAATAGTGGACAAAAAGTAGTAAACAAAGGCAGTTTTCTGCACAGAAAGACGTTAAGAGAATCCATCTGCACAAATCATGTAACGAAGTTATCACTAGTCTAACATGAAAGTACACTGTGGTATAGACCTGTACGTGGTCAGTAACAAAACTCTGTTCAGTTCTCACTACTCAATGATGCAAAGGCAATTACACAATCACTTGAAGCTTGGAAGCTGAAGCATTAGGTATCAAGCAATTTGCAACAAAAAGGTTGCAGGAATTAGCCATGGCTGTAGTTTTCACAGAAATTCTCTTCCAGCAAATATAAAAAGACAACATTAAAGTATTTTTACAAAGGTGCAATCTCCTATGAAATTATTTGCAAGGGGGGGAAAAAAACCCAAACATTTGTACTTCACATAAGTTAACATAAATTACTGCATTTCTATCAGTCACTGATTAAAAAACAAATAAGATTCAAGGTAGTGGACCTTGGAAGTCTGAATAATTAAGTCCGTTTCACACATCAGTGTAAAAAGAAGTTTACAGCACCAAGAGCAATGCTAGAAAGGTATCAGCACAGCAAAACGCAGACCTGATTATATTTTGAGAATGCCACCTAGTGGCTATTAAGTTTTGTGCCAAACCAGATTTTATTTCAACAAACTTACTACTGGTGAAACTATGAACCTTAACGTACAGTGAGATCATAAAGTAACTCTCCACAGAATCAGGCCATGCTGGCTCTCACACAAAGAAAGTTAGAGATCAATTTTTATCAGTTTGTGAGGAGAGGGGATATTACTCTGTGTCAGTGACCTGAAGCTTCCTGTGTGTCTAATAAAGTATGTTTTAATTATCTGTAGGCTTAGAGGTTTAAAACTGACCTCAGTCTTAATAGCAATTATATTTAATTCTAAAAGCATAATCAAGTTCCATTATCACACAGAAGATGAGGGTCTAGACACTGATTCCTAGCACAGTTCACATGTTCAAAGACACAGGACAGAAGTAACTATAAATTAAGTTTCTTCATATACATAAAAAAGCATCACTCCTCTATGTAAATGAACATTTATCTTCAGACAGAATATTAACTAATAACACTGCTCCTTCTGATGTACACAAGCTCAAACCCCTGCCCCAATCCTGAAACTGGAAACCTCTCCACTCTATGGATAGATCTGTCCTAACTTTCACTGAAGTCAGTTGCATCTAAAAGCATACTATAGACAAACAGTATTAAAAATTTTCAGTAATATCAGCAGCTTATTGTAATTGTTAAGTAACATACACAGGAAACTGTCTCAATGGATTTCTTCCAGTTATTTATTCCTTTAATCTGTCTGTGAAGCTTACCTAAGATCACGATTACATAAAGGTTTATTACAATGTGGTAGTGGTGTGGGGTTGCACAATATGCTTGTAGCAATTTAGCTTTTAATCTCTTGGATGCCTATTCCCACCCTCATACTGCAGTACTCTGCAGCCTGTTTACCTATTCAAAAAGCTAAACAGGAAGAGCTTGTCCTTTTTCCAGAAAATACTAAACAAACAATTCTTCAAAACTTGCTAAGGAGTAAGTATTTTAAAATAGCTTTACCCTTGTGCTGCTGTGACACTGACTGTTTCATTACAAGTCTGACGCCAGCACTGTTCACCATTACCACCCAAGAAACGGGTTTTTTCTGAAGCCAAGACATTTGAAAGCTGAAGTCTCGCCACACCTAGAAGTAAGTCTTTAGCTGTTTTATCCTTGTGCCACAATTCAACCAGCAGAGGTAACCTGAAACAAAGTGATTTTTGTGTCAGGCATCAACATTAAAGAGGAAACATTCCCATTCATTTGGGAAAAAGATCTCATGTTCTAAAAGTATCTTCCCAAATCTGTTTGACATTTGTGACCATCACTACGAGATGGGTTTACTGCCTCTCACTCAGAGAAATGAGACTTTGTAACTTCTCCATCACTTACTCACTTTGGTAAGATTATCATTCCTTTCTCCAATTATTAGAAAGAACAATGCTGCAGTGACAGCAATTGACTGAATAAACCTAACAGACCAAAATCTTCATCTATAAATACCTATAAATAAATTTTAGTCACTGCCATTCATAGAATACATCTCCTCCACCTCTTCTTTCAAAATATCACTATTTTGATGATTCTTTATCCCATATACTAGTAAGTTATCAAAAGCTGGTGACACTACTGGGAAATTTGTGCCACAGCCCTCAACACTGAGCTCAGCTTCCCAGGTACTTGTTGTATTTTCAACAATATCAGATAGCCATCATGTATTAAAAAGAAATATAAAAAAACTATTTATTTATTTCATTTGAAGTAACGCATTGTTAAAACTATGCTATCTATCAACCTTTAAATTAACAACATACAGCAACAGTACTTGTTTCTGTAAGCAACGATCCCTGCATAAGCACTCAAGAGAAAAGCTAGAATTTTAGAGTCCCTGACATTAAATGTAAGTAATAGAGAAACAGGAAGATGAGTGTATTAAGTATCTGTTGGCATTAGGCATCTGGATTCTATACTAAATCCTCAAACCGATGATCTTAAGTAAAAAATTTGAACTTGACTGCATTTACAACAAAAAATAGAAAAAGTGTAATTAGGATAAAAAGAATGCAAGTTATCACCTGAAGAATGTATCTTGAAGCTGATGAGGTATAGTTGCAAAGTCAAATGCACAGTAGGACTGTGGAAGGAAGACTTCCATGTTTTTTCTGACTTCTACAGGTGGGCTTGTCATAATAGGTGCTGCACTGCCAAAAAATGGATATGAGTACCTAAAAAATAGTAACAAAAAAATTTAATAAATAGATACTTTTTCTTAAGCCTTCTGCAATATGAAAACCAGTTTAGAAGTCTTTCACTGAAGCATTTTTGTATTAAAGTCAAAATTTACACAACATATCCAACAATAGAATTTAGTTCTCAAATACTCATGTTCATATTTACTTCAGCACTGATCCAGCTTCATTTATATTTGCTGTTATTTTTATGAAAAGGCTTGAATAACCTGTATGTTCACAGCCATATGAATTAATCTTTCTGCAATTAATAATTGCAGAATCTTAATAAATTGAGCAGAGAAACAGAAGAAAGGAATATCATATTGAGATGTAGATTGCTACTTGAGAACATTTATAACTATATTTACAACTAAGACTGGTCTAGCAAACAATAATTGATAACTAAGTATACATATAAACAGCATCAGAAGCACTTGCAAATTTCAGTCGCATTTGAAGAATTTAATTTAATTCACTAAAAGGAAAGTTGAATCATTTTACCAATATGATTTACAATGTGGCCTGAAACTACACTACCGGCACAGTTCAATGTATGATAAACTACAACAAAGGGAAGGCCAAGAACCTCTTGAACTTCCCTTTGCTCAGACTGATGATGCCAGCTGTCAGCTAAGTTACTAATAAAACAAATGCTGCATCAAATGCTGCCACTTATAAAATTCCATACTTTAACTATTTGTGCAGAACTGTTTAAAAAGTTTGTTTAGACTTGAATAAAATAATGCTCCCAATATACAGTGAAAATGCCATTTTTTACCCTGTAACTTTTCTTGGCATTTATGTGTTTGGATGTTTCTTGCCATATCCATTGACTGTAAAAGCTGAAGTTCATGGAACAACAAAACTTACTTGTTGTCACTGTTCTGAAACAAATTAATTTTTGGAATGTTATGTGAAAAAGCTTTTGTGACAAAATTCCATCCATTGCATGTTGTTTTCCACATAATGTTTAATAACATAGCCTATACAGAAACTATTAATGATGCAATCTGTACTAGTTGCGTTCTAAAATGTTCCACTCCTCCACCCCAACCCCACCTTTTCACCCTAGTTCTAACAAAGCTTAAACTCCTTGAATTATTAAGAAGCATAGACTTGGCAACCACTTAAAACTGTACTGCAAACTCTGACAGAACAACAAACACAAAGCAAACACAGATGCACCTCCACAGTCACAATATTCAACCCTCTCAAACCAAATCACCATTTAGAGATATGCTTCATCACATGCACCAGAAAGGCCCCAATGAAAATTAGATGGCAAACTAAGAGCTGCTATGAACCACTGAATTCCCATATCCCAAAAAGTAATATTCCACAAGTAGAAATTTTTATTTTTTAGTTTTAAACAACAAAATTATCCCTGCATCTATGAACTCTTGATCCTAATGAAAACTTAAACAAACAAGTAAAAGAGTTTCTCTCTTCACGGGCAATGTTAAAAAAGCAAACAAAGCCCAACCTGCATACAGACACTCATTTCACACCCTTACTTTTAATTGGTCCTTCAACTGTTTAATTCTTATTCCTCCAATTTAGTATTTAACTCCCAGCTAACATCTGCTTATTCTCCAAAAGCGCTCCCATAGTTTTCTTTCATGTTGACATCGGTAACAAACTAATCTATAAGCAATTGTTCCAAAATAGCAACAGTACTTTTCTACTTTTGCTTCAGACAAAAAACTCATGTATCCAAAAAGCTTATCTTTTTTGTACCTCCACAAATTAATGTAACAAGAGATGCTACTTCTCCCTAGTAAGCTTTGCTTCTTGTATGCAAAGACTATCAGAATCCCCTGATACTACCTCTCAGAATGATAATGCATTTACTATACTGGTTATTCACTTTAACACTAGAACATGCTTCCTTTAGATTCACTGGCACAAACAAACTGTATGATGTGTCTCTTACTACAACACTACAAGGAGTTTTTGGTGGAGACATGGAAAGCTACAGAAATTAGTCCTGCCAGAAAGGCAGCCAGAAAGTAAGGAGACAAGTAATCCTCCTTTTCCTCCAAGGACTGAATGATGACCTGTGACTAAGCTCAGACCTGTTGTCTGAGCTTAGATATTCAAGTGAGACTTACTACAAACTACAGCACAGGTGAAGTGTTACGTACTATCTTTAATGCTGTAATGCTCAGAAGTTTAGTGATGAGCCAGATGAACGTTCTAAAGTTATCTTGCTACTAAAAATCAGCTCCATAAAGGTAAAAGGCATCAGGAAGCACACTGCCAGCAATCATTTAGATTATGAAGGCTTTGTATTGAAGAGAAAGATAGTTACTACCAAGAGTAATAGCAACAAAAATACATCATACCTTAACATGCAATTTATTGGAAAACCAACTTCCAGGCCACGTATGCTTCGTAAGTCTATTGAAAAGCAAAAATGATGAGAGGCTGCTGGAATGACAATTTTCTGTGCTGACACAGGCTCAGAAGAACTGGATGCACCCACAGGGTTGTGTTGAGATGCAGCTACTGGACCATTATCAGCTGAAAACACAAAAGATTTTGTATGCGTTATTAAAATAATCTGTTCTGCCCCAAATAACAAAATGTATTAAAGATAGGTCTCACATTTCAAATGCAAGTACAGATAGGTTGCTTGCCCAAGATATTTCAATTCCTTGCAATATAAGCTAACACTATGAAAAACAGCCCCCCTATTTTTAAGTTACTGCTTCCAAAGAAAACACACCAAAACGCCAACATACTTAAAAAAAAGGAAAAAGATTACAGAATCCTTTTGAGAAGATGTAATTACTCTTCAAAGTTACGTAAGTTTATCTCACTGAAGAAGAGTTTAGGGTGCTGCAAGACTTTAAATTCAGCAGTTTAAGGCTGAATTGTTCACAATTGTTCCTAGCCAACTTTAGGGCATGCAGGAGAGGTAGGCTTACAGAAAAATAATTTATAGAGACTTAGTTTGCTTTGAATTAACTAACCTCTTTAGCTTGGAACTGAAAAAACAGAGCACCAGGTCAATTACACTGCTCATGTAAAGCAGCATCAACTACTGGTCCAAGCTTAGGTTTAACTATTGAAATAAATTAAAATGCTCTGGTTAGGTCTATAAAGCATGTGTGCTTACGCCCTTTGATCAGAACCCACCTACTCTGACATCTATTTCATAATTTAGGAAGCAGAAGCTACAGTGAGTGCACGTCCGATTGCATCCAGGCTTTTCAAGTACTTACACTGGGATCCAATACTGCCTTCAAAGAGTAAAAGATCAAGCCACAATTTTACAGACAAGATCTCCAAAAAGGTATTCTCCAAAAAAACGTTTAAGATACTAAAGCAGAAAAAGAGACTAAGAAACTGACAGAGAACTCAACTTCCTTTTGTTTTAGTTGTTCTGATCCTCTTTCTTCATAATTATCTAAAATGTTTCCATTTTTCTAATTTTTAAAGAAACACATCATTGCTAGCATTGACTTTGTTTTTTTCCTGCTTGTTTGAGTGTTTTATTTGCATTACCTATAACAGTACAAAAAAGAACAATTCAATACTACTACAACATCATCCAGTTTGCACAACACAGTAATAAAGTTTTCAGCGATTCAGGTAAAGTTTTACTAGATTGCCTGGCGCAATGAAATGGCTAAATATAAGTTTAAAGCTGTCACAGACAAGAGGACAAAAATTGCATACAGCCTATTGTTAAAATTTAAGATGCTGTAATAGTCAAGTCTCATTCAATGTACTAAATATGTTAAATTTTGCATTACTGGAATTCTGCAGATCTGACAGCTCTTCAGTACGCTGTTTGTTAGCCTCCTGGCAAGACTCAGCCACCGGCCCTGAAAGACAGATGTGAAGAGATATGTTTTACATCTTAGCAAAACGGAGTTATAAAATTATTACTACTAGTAATAAAAAAGCACAACCCTGCATTTCTTAACCACAGATTCAAACTAGCTGCTGGGCTCATAATACTTTTTCTTGATACATTCCATATAAAGAACTTAATCCTTGCTTAGGTAAGATCAGTTAGGATTAAGAGAAAAGTTGTCTGAATTAGCAGACAAATCCTGACAGCATGTGCTAGGACACAGGTTTTCCTATATAGAACTGCGTATCTTCATGACCAATCTTAGAAGAGCAGTAATGTAAGTACCATTAGCTAAAGAATAATTTGGCTTTATTCATAAATCATCTCTTAACAAGACGCATGTTTAGCAAACTAACATTCTTTCTTCTCAGCTTTACTCTATCATTAGTATAGTATTTATTTCTCTCTCCTCTCTGTTCCTCTTCAACTTCTCCTCAAGCCAGTCCTCAAATCAAAACCAAAACAAGGGAAGCCTTGGAAGGCTATGTGAGTTACCAAGTGCCTACAAAAGGACAACATAAAAAGAAACAACCCAGTTCCTTGGTTTTGTCCAGGAATCTGTACAGTATGAACATCTGTTTTCACAATTTATTATCCATGTAGTGAATTCCTTAGAAGTCTTTAAAATCCCACATTTTCCCTGCCTTCCTTTTTAATAAACATGAACACTAGGCCATCTTATCTCCTCATTGAGCAAGTCAGTTTCTTCATGGGTATTGTACTGAACGTTCTTGTTCTCAAATTCAGGGAATTCCAAGTATTTCTGGTATTATTCTTCAGTGACCATCCACATCACTTGTAATCTATGCACCACCAAACCCCCAGTCTGGCTCTTCCAAGTGTTTTCAACAACCACCATATTTAAATGACAACATTTATTCTCCTCCTATTGTTTGTTTTACATAAATAATTCTTACTTGCCAAAATTTATTACTACAAATGAGTAGCACGTGATGCAATACCACGCTTGAGAACCAGGGAAAAAATTATATACCACATACCCTTTTTCTTTAGTTTCATGTCTTTTTCAAACTTTAGACTTTCCACTTCACTTTCTGTTGCTTCATCTTCTGTTGAAGAGTGTTCAGCTTGAGACAGAACATTCTGGGATCTCTGCTGCAGGCCTTCTGTTTTTCCACTAATAGACGAAAGAACTTCTCCCTGTGGCTGTTCAGGTTCAGTTGGAGCATTTAGGGGAATCAAAGACTGAAAGAAGTGACATAGTTTTCTTACTGATCATGGCTTGAATTGAAAAATTTGTCTACAACATTTTTATAGTTTGAGATCATTTTTCTGACACAGAAAAATGAAGCAGTGAAAGGACTACTCATATAAATCAACTTAATCTTTCAGATTTTCTTTTACATACTGAACTGTTGAATAGGACTTAGAAATACCAATTTTTTTAACATGAAACTGTGAAACAGTATCTAAACCAACAATAAATGGGTAAGCTATACCTGGGCACTCAAGCTCTCCCTTTGCAGAATTACAGATACCCCAACAGTAGGAGGCATATCCAAAGGCAACTGTGGCAGTTTCTGTTTAGCTCTATTTGGAGGAACAAGGACAAATGCTCTTTCTATTGCCACAGGGCGTTGATCGAGCTTGACATTTCCTTCCTTCAGTAGTCCAGACAGGGGTATTTCAGTGCTTCCAAGAGACTGGTCCCCACAGCAAAGATGGATCTGTATACATACAAAAGCGCTAGACAGTAACTGGCATGTGCATTTCCACTTGAACCATCTGTTCACCCTCTACTAAAGGTAGCGTAAATAACAGACCAAAGTGATCATCCCTAGTCTAGTCCCTGTATGTTGAGAACAAGTGTTCTGAGGAGTATAATAACAGCTGTGAAATTTCAGGACTGAGCAGGCAGGATCTGCCCAGTGCTAGCACAGTAGCAGATCACAGCACTGCCCTTCTGAGGGCCTGTCATATCATCCCTTCTGGAGGACAAATTCAGTAGTCTGTGGCTTCTAAACACAGCAGTTTCTTGCTCTTAATGTACAGAGATATAAAATGCATGACCGCAAGGTAAAGGAAAAAAGAAGTTACTGGAAAGCTCAGCCTTTGTGCATATATTTAGGCACCACTTAAATAGCCAGGATTTTTGCAATTAAGTAACTGTGTTCTTAATTCCTGGTAAGAATCATTATTCCTTTTTCAAAACTTGACTCAACTCTTTCTTCCTCCTGCAGCTTAATATTTATACACTTAAGTAAGAGATGGATCTTAAAAAAATCCCCCACTCTATAGTAATTTATTTTGCTCTACAGAAGTTACTCTTTGAAACTTACACACCAACCTGCTCTTTCCCAAGTAAGAGTCACTTCAGTTGTTTTAGCAGATCAGAACACTATATTCTGATCCTTAGTATTTATTACATTTAATGAAGATTTTAATGCTAAAAGGTGTCAGCCACCAATATACACACCTAGATGTGTATATATGTACATACACATATATACAATCATACCCAATATACATATACACACACACCCCTCCCTCTAGTCTGGCAGCTAGTACCTTTTATGACTAAAGTCTTGATTTTTGGAAAAAAACCCGTATTAAATATTAATGATTAGAATACATACAGTCAGAGAAACAAAACTGTAAATCAAGATGTGGATCTGACCTCATGACAACTCTTGTTCAAAAAGTCATTCTTTAACATGATGACAGCACATGTAATTCTCTGTATGTGTACATATATATAATATATGCTATATTAAATACTTGTTTCAAGGCCAGAGACTAAGATTAAATTCTAAACACATCACTGCATATGTTTTCCCAAAAACTGTAATTAGAACAATATTTAAAGTTGAGACAAAAAATCTGAAACAATATAAGATCTCTACAGAAACATTCTTAAACCAACCCGGATAACAAAACTAGAATGGTATGTACAAGTTTAAGGAAAAATAACTTTTAAAGGGTCCAGATCCAAGTCTTACTTTTTATAACTAACACTGTCTTACTTACCAGCTATGTTATTAGAAAATCTATACTACCCTCAACCAAATAGTCTTTTCTTTTGTAATGAGTTAAGTGTAAGCCAGACAAAGATTGTCATGAGCAGTTTTGATACTACCCAATATTTAGAATGAGAGAATCATTTCAGTTGGAAAAGACTCTTAAGATCACTGACTTCAACCATAAACCTAACACTGCCAACTCCGTCACTAAACTATGTCCCCCGTTTAAAGGCATAGCTGAAGATAAGCAATACCCTATAAGAGCCCAAATATGGCTGTAGTATACTTAAAAATTTTATTTGGCTAAAGACTGGGGGGGGGGAACAAAAAAAAACAAACCACCAAACAGACCTCCCTTATTATTCACAAAGAGCACTGAGTATTTTAGAACTTAGTCAAGAATGACCTGAGCAGCTGGTGTGGCTGAGGTTATCACAGGTGGCACAAAGCAGGACTGTAGTCTGCAGATGGTCTGATTGCCAAGCAGGTCCCAGAGCTCAGAGCTCTTGAGAATGCAACATCAGCTCTTTGGGAATACCATGTTTCAAGCAATGTCTTTTATCATGACATGTAGCCTAGCTTACTATAGCAACCATACTAAAGACATTGTACTCCATCTGAGCTGGGAAACTTACTGCTAGGGTTTCTGTCACATCAGCAAGAGAATCAACTTGTGTTTGAGACAAAACACTAATACAATCTAGTTTTAGAAAGAGAAATGCTTTTGAGTTGCAGCCTGAGCCACACCTTATTTCTTTTATTTTCATTATTTATTTTCATTCACATTTGAGAAGAAACAGCTTACCTGCAATTTTGACTGTGCACAAAGATAAACTTGAAGGACATCAGCTGTACTACGTATTCGAACTGAAGCTCTTTCAGGCTCAAAGTTTGGATTAATTAAATCATTGAAAGGTTCATTTATGACATCATGTCCCAGCAATGAGTAGTAGAAAAAAAACTCAGGCTGTCGTTCAGGAAGCTTCATAGTACTAGAAACTAACTAAAAAAAAAAAAAAGATTCAGAAAAGAAAAATGTATCTCTTTCATTAATGTAGAGTTACAATAATGTTTAAGCGTTAGCTTGGAAATTAAAGAGCTTAAAGTGATCTCAAACTACTAAGTAGCTGACCTAAATCCTACCTAAATCCTAAATTACACATAAAATAAAAAGAAAGTTCTCGTATTAATATTCAAACTCATTTAAAGAAAATCTTACTTTACAAGCATACCGATAACTTGCAAAATGGGACCGTAACTGAAATCACATATTCAATAGTATCAAGCACTGCACAAATATTCAGAAGTAACCAATTACTCCAGAAAATACTTATAGTGCAAATAAACAATGCACACTAGATCACAAATTATACACGAAATACTGGAACAGCCAGCAACAGCTACTTCATCCTGTAGCCGCTACAACTGAGTTCAATGCCTAAAAAGGCACAAGCTACCCCACAGTGATCACAATAAATTTATTTCACAAGACCCTATAATTCTGACATGGAAAATTGTTTCTGCCAAAAAAAAAAGATGACAAGACTGAGGAGACTTTGTCATACACTGAGTTATAGATAATTAAAATTCACTGGCCTGGAGTCATGACTTGTACAGTAACTTGGGCATACTGATATTTTAAAATCAGACAGGGTGTATCAGTGTGGTACAGTACAGCAAAAACACAGCACCTGAGGTCTAAAGCCGAAATAATCACATTAACACAGTGCTTCACCCAAGCATCCAAGTCTTTCCCTTAGGCAACCTATAGGCCCTACTGCTTCATACATCTTATGAATGTGAAAGATATTTCGTCTTGTTTGAATTTCAGCACATGGGCACCACATTGAAGACTGATATTATACACACACACACTTATTATACTATATTCAATATGCATTTCATAGAAGTGCATGATTTAAAGTAATGCAATTTTAGTGCTCCAAAAGAATTCTCATCTTTCACCTGTAATTTGACATATAAGCACTATGTAAAGTTTAAAAATTCAAATTAACATATATTATTTCAGTATGGGACAAGGCTATTTATTGCAAGAAATCTACAAGATAATAAAAAATCCTGACCAGAAATAAGGCATGGGTGGGTGAAGATACAAACATAGGACAGTACTTCTTAAAAACTATGCATAGCAAGGAAACAAACCTGTTCCAACTGTTTGGCAAACACAATGGTTACGGACAAGACAAAGTAGTCTTTGCAATACTCTGCTGGCCCAATTTGAAGGTAGCCCTCTTCTGTATTCAAGACTGGTACAATACTTTTAGGGTCTAGATCAGAGAGAAGAGCAGATGCTAAGAGAGAAGGAAAAAAAATTAAGAAACTTGTGACCTTACTAATTGCTGCAGGAATCTTACATATAATTGTAATATTACCAATAAAGATCCTGATGCTCAATTCCAAAGCATTTTAACACAAGGAAGTCCCTGAGTAACTTAGGTACAGCTACAAAAAATTCTGAAATTAATTCCTATTCAGTGGGCACAGATGTTACTTTGAACACTATGATAGACAGAATGCTAGTGCATATTTTTATTTAAAGTTACAGTGAGTGACATTAAGTGACTGGAACTTTATTTCATTAGGTTAAAGTCTACTATGCTGTTGCTTTATTTTACTCATTAAAGAGAATGCAAGACAGTAACTGCATAGGACAACCTGTTCAATTGTTAGAAGTAGTATGATGTCTCATTTCACAGACCTTTAGAATGTCTTATTTAAAGATTTTTCATCTGTAGTCTTCAGCGCATAAAACAGTGTTTGTATTGTGGTTTACTCATTTCTACTCTACGGTGCCAGTAATACAATACATTTCAAAGCACTTCAGGTTACACCAAATAGGAATAATCACAGATCATGTTTGATTGTGAAACAAGAGATTCCATTTAAAACACTGGGAACTTTAGACCACTTAAGTCAGTGAAACAAGAATAAAAATAATGAAAAAAAAGTGTATGAATCCCAAAAGGAAACACCTCCTTAAGTATCTGACTAGACTAGAACTGGGTAGTCTAGCTTTGTCATACCCAGTGCTTGGAACAGTAACTTTAAACCTGTGAAAAGCTACATGTGTGTTTGCCTCCACTGCCTAAATATGGTATTGACTAATCTTCAGATGACAGAAAAAAGGAAAAAGCTGGAAAACTTGTTTGCACCAATTATTTCACAGAAAGCATGAAGTGGAAGAGAGTACTGGGTGAAGGTAGAAGAGATTTCTTGTATTTTCTGCCAGTGTTATAAGGGCTAGGAGAGCTTGTGGGAAGAAAGATCACAGGTTAACAAATCATTTACAGTAGTTCCTTGCTTCCTTTACAGTACACAAAATTCCCTGTGGTTTGTTGTAAACCTGAAAGGATGGAGAGCGCTAAGTGATTACACTGGAACTTCGCTACTGCCTTAAACACCCTTGCAATGCAGACAAGTCAAAGTCTGGGCCAGAAACCTTGTAAAGCACTTACTGCCAGCGACCACTTTGTTTTTACAAAACCAGACCATGATAAGCCGATGATGAATTTATAATTATGAAATTGCCCCAAGGCAAGAACACAAAGTACTTTAAGTAGGAGAAAATCCACTAGTTGTAACAGAGGCTCAGTTTTCAGAAACGAAGTAGATAGGAACTTGATTTAAAAAAACCCAAAACAAACAGATTCACCTCATCCCCCAACCAAAATCCTAAGGGTTTGGTTTTGTTTTAGGTTTGTTTGGTTTTGTTTTTTTTTTTAACCTACTATATTGCCTTAAAAAATCCCAGATAAAAATGACTTTCTAAAGCCCTGAAATGAGTAAAATGCCCATAGGAGTAAACTGTGAGTCCCTGATTTTAAAGATCAGTTGGTTTGCAACCCTCTCCACCTGGAAGTCACACAATCACAACAGTAAAGCATCCTTTTAAAGTCACTACCACAAGGTACATTAATCAGCTGTAAAGCATTTGCATTGGAAATACTATGAAATTAAATTCTTTTGAGACTCTAACACACTAGCAACAAGTGATATGTTCATCTGGCACAGGAACATCTTTAATTTAAAGTGACTGATATTCTTATTATGTTACTTACCCTTCACTTCTCTAGGTTGTGCCTCCTTTGCTTTAAAACCATCAACTAATGCTTTTGAATCAGTCTCCAATGCAACACCTACTTGTATTTCAGATTTAAATTTACCATACTTGTTACTAAGCAGAGGATACCATTTTGGTGCCTACATAATTAAAAACAAAAATAAAAACCAAAAGAATTTTAAACCCAGGAAAATGATATAATATTGTTACAGAAAAATTAGACTTTCTCTAGCATTTCTACTTCATCATCTACAGGAATATACATTGTTTTTTATTTCCAGAAGTTTAGTCTATTTTGAGTACACTATTATACTAAATGATTCTATAAAATGATTCCTGGAAGACTACTGTACGAATTGGTGTAAAGGAATATATTCAGCTAAACAAGTTAGCAAGAAAAAAAATATGACACACAGAAAAATCTACAAGTTCTCAACTGAAAGCGCAGAGCAAGTTATATGGATCACAGATCCTTAAGTATAACATCAAAATAAGACACCTATTATTAAGAGTCCTATTATGACCCATATCACAGTTATGTTTTGAGCAAGCACAACACAGAATTTTGATTCATTAAATTTATATAAACAATTACATCATGTTTAACCTATGCTGTGTTAAGGGGCCAGAACTTCTAACCACGTAACATACCTTCCACAGAGGCCCATCAATTTTTTTTTTTTAATGATGGAGACTCAATTCAATTGCTCAATATCAATTGCTTTGAAAGGTTTTTCTAGGTGATTTAAGCAATACTTTTAAGCAATTCCAAGATTTAAAGTGCTTCTCAAATTCAGAAATGCAAGATTAGTACAAAGTATTTTCATTTGCCCATATTCTTATAGAGAGTCAAGAAGATGTCTCTCCTCTAACATTAAAAAAAAAAAAGAGAAGTAAATGATCAACTAAGAATCATACTCTGAAACAAGACTGGAAAGTCTGGCCTGTGCCTTAATTCAAATTTACTATCTGTAACTGTATCATTGTCAAAATGTAAGCTTTTAAAGCTTTATACCCCATAACATACCTGTTTCTTTTCCTGCACAGCCCTTAAATCAAGTACAATATAGCCTAATTTCTCTTTAGCTGAAGATGCAGGATCCAATGCAAAACACTGAAGTTTGATAGGTGTACGCTGCAGCCTGAAAGAACAACTCAGTTGAAATCCATAGTGTAAAAGTGATCTCTGCAATTAGTTCCCAAAAATAATTCATAAGTTTCAAGCATACCAATGATACAAAAACGTATTTATTATATAACTAGTTTTTAACAGGTCAGAAACTGAGTTTATATTGAAAACCTAAAAATTCATCATTAAGTGGGAGAGTGAAGAAGCAGATTAATTTTGTAAGAGCAGTGTACTGGAGTCTCATGGACCCTCAAGCGCTATTAAAAATATGTTAGTGACAAGTAAATTCAATCTTACCCACATACAAGACATAAGCACTGCACCTCACATGAAACCAGGATTTCACTTGTGAAGGTATCTTAAAAATAGGACTTATGCAAAAGATTTTTGTGCAAAGCACCTAATAATACTCAGAAGCATAGATGAGGTATCTACCATAACGTACATTTAGGTGTTTTTCTCTCAAACATCAGAGATAATATGGCCTTTTAAACTTCTTTGAAAATATGGAGGTAATATTATGATCTGTCAGACAAAACCAAATGACAGTTATGGAAACCTTATTCCATTTCCCAGCTCTATTTGACATTTTCAAAAATATTTTCAGGCTTGAAGTTAAGTTAATTCTGTGCCAAAGTATACATAAGAAAGCTTGAATCCAATGCTTGAACTATAGCATTATTAATTTGCTGTAAGCTCTTGGGGTTTTCTCAGTAGTGCAAAAACATACCCTTTAGAATTTTCAAACATCACTTATCTTGCCACATACTCCTTTTGTTTGTTGTGGCAACACTATGGTAGATCAGTATACAGCTAAAATGAAGTTTCTAAAAAAAAAATAATCAGATGACAGTAACACAAAAATTATATTTCAGCAGCTGTAAGGGCAATAAAATTAAATTCTATCTCCAAATTAGACTTAACTTTCTAATGTTACCTGTGCTGATGAAGTGCTTTCCTATCAAGTTCCCAAGCCAATTCCATAGCAAATGCTGGCCGATCGGTATGCTTTACAGGATCAGTAGCCAACTGTTCACCATCAAACTTTGCTTCAACTATAAGCACATGCTTGGGTCGTGTTGGAAAATAGCGCCCTGTAAGAGAATGTAAATGCCACGTGCCACCACTAAAAAAAACAGTGAGAGCTCAGACTCATGCTATAAATCAATTACATAAAAATACATTTCCCATGTTACCCTACCTGCATGTACTCTAAAACTATGTGCTTCATATTAGATAAAAAAAAGGTCTTCCCACTACACAGAAGAAAGAAGAACATAAAATGAAACAGACTATTTGTAAAGCTTCCAGAAAGAGCAATACATTAAGTAACAAAGACAGAAACTAGACAACTAGTATGATTTAATTGTGATAAATCTATGATTGGGAATAAATCAAGTGAACAGGTGATAGAGAGAGGTTGAATGTTTTGCCTATATTGCAGATTTTATCACTGTCCCACATCAAAGCAGCAAAACACAATCTAATGAAAGCCATGAAAGGTGTTTTTCTAACTACTTGTTGTTGAAAAAAAAAAGTCACTACTACATTAGGAGACTGCCTAAAGTCATACAGGATTCTTCCTGGGTTCGGCACCATGCCATATTCCGATTAACAATTTAAATGACAAAATGAAGTGAACACTTAAAATTTACATCTATCACAGTGGGGGGAGGGGCTATGTGCATGTCAGAAGACAGGATCTTATTTTAAAGCTACCTTGGCAAATTGCATAAATGGACACAGAGATATCAGGATTTACCTGACAAATAAAGAAAGCATTCAGTCAAAAAAAAAAAAAAA